GAAAACATCCATCAATCAAGTAGAATCATCAATCAAACATGGAATGTGTCACATACATCAACATTAAACCCAAATCTAGACCTAGGGTTCTTAAACCAAGAGAAGAGGGTGAGTTTCTAGAGAGAGAGAGAGAGGAGAGATTACAAAGAAACCACTAGATCTTCTTCTATGGTTGATTCCTTGCTTCCAAGCTTGATCAATGCCTTAAATTAAGGTCCAAGATCACTCTCTCACTCTCTAGAAATCCCCTTTGGTGTTTTGGGTCGAAACCATAGAGAAAGAAAGTGTTCCTTCTCCAAAAACCAGCTCTCCTTTCTCTCTCCCCACTAATGTCTTCATATTTGCCCGAAAGTGCCCAGTTCACGGTCGCGTTGGCCAGTTCACGGTTGTGAACAACATAACGCGTTCATGAACTTAGTTTCGTTCCCAATACGCACCGCTTCACTCCCCGGGGTTCTCGGTTTGTACTCAAAGTTCACGGTCTTAGAGACCGTGAACTGCCTTATGGTCAGTAACCTTTGAAACCTCGTTGGACGCCTCGCTGTTCACGGTTTGTGGTTCCAGTTCACGGTCTTAGGAGACCGTGAACTCCAATGGGAGACCGCGAATTGCAGCTGATTCCTGGACGCCTGCGCTTCACTATCACGAGGCAATTGTCACGGTCTTTGGACTTTTCTTTGGTTTTTGCGCTTTTTGACCTCCAATCGTCCCGAAACTCGTCTTCGACCCTTCCACAAGTGCTGGGACCTTAAATGTATCAAAACAAGCACAATTTAGCGTGAAATATGTCGAGGAACGATGAAATGCAAAGTCAAACTATCAAGAAATGAGGGGCAAAATGTGTACAATTTGATCCGAATCACACATGCACTATATGGCCAAGTATAATTCATGATGAACATTAGACATCCCAAAACTCGTGTGTAATATGCTTGAGATTCACTTTCACCTTTATTATTATCAAGTATTTTCTCAATATAGTGAACCTATGGTAACGTTAGACCTTTAGGTGGTCGATAAATTTTAATACCCAAAAATAATTGGCCTCCCCGAAACATATCATACGAAAGATCAAGTTAGCATTAGTTTCGTAGCTTCTATGTCAGTAATGTGTTTACTCATTATTAACATATCATCTACATAGAGACAAACAATGAACTCGCGATCAGGAGTGCTTTTTAGGTAGACACATTTATTGCACTCATTAATCCCAAACCCATTTGACAACATTACTATGCCAGATTTATGGTGTCAGTGCTTAGGAGATTGTTTAAGTTCATATACTGGCCTAACCGATCTACATATACCTTATGTTCTTCTCCGCGAATGATGAACCTTTTAGGTTGTTTCATCTAGATTTCTTCCTCCTTGACTCCATTTACAAATGAAATTTTTGCATCAATTAAATGGATTTGGAGACCATACAGGACAACCAAACGATTAGCATCTGAATAGATGCAATCCTTACGACTGGTGCATATGTGTCAAAGTAGTTAATACCTTCCTTTTGTCTTACCTTTGGATTCACAAGTCTTGCCTTTACTTGTTAATATCACCATTAGTATTTCAATTTCCATTTGAAAATCCATATAACCCAATGCTTTATTACCGAGAGGAAGATCCACCAATGCCCATGTGTGACTATTCAAAATGAAAGTAACTTCACTATTGACATCTTCTTTCCAATATTGAGCTTCTGAAGAATTCGGGACAAAATGATATGGACTCTATTTGATGTTTACTACGTCGAGGCTCATCAATATTGGACTCACTTTTTGATCTAATTTCTCAAGGCCGATTGGAGTTTTCTCCTAGGAAGGGGATGTGTCCTCCAAGAACTCTGCATCATCAGACTCTATGACTGTATTAGAATGGATACTGAGAATTTTCAATTTACAGACCAAAAAATGATGTGTCGTGCTATTCTTGGCATAACCAACAAATATGTAATCTATCGTTTTTTGACCTACCTTCGCCTCTTTTGGTTTTGGGACTCGCACCTTTGCCAAACACCCACACTTTGAAGTATATCAAGTTTGCTCTTTTTCCTTTCCATTGCTCATATGGAATGATTTGCATCTTAATGTACTATACTCTATTTAGTATTTGTGTGGTAGTAAGTACATCTGCCCCCACAGATTCTGAGGTAAACCATAATTTAGGAGCAAAACATTCATAATGTCCTTCAAACTTTGATTTTCTTTCCACAAACTCTATTATGTTGTGAGGTATATGAAGCAAGTTTGATGAATAATTTCATTTTCTAGACAGATTTCTTGAAATGGAATTCATATTCACTAACTCTATTGCTTCTTACTATTTTGATTTTCTTGTTGAGTTGATTCTCAATTTTGATTTTATATTGCTTGAATGCATCAATAGTCTCGTCTTTGGTATTAATCTCATAGACATATCAATACAGAGTGCTATCGTCAATATATGTTATGACTGAATTGTAAGGAAGACATAGCAAAGTGAATAAGATTAAGGGTTCAGAATTCATTTTGACTGAATCATAAGGATGCTTTGTAAACTTGAATTCCACACATACTTGACATCTTGATTCATTGGATTCATACTTGGGCAATATCTCTATGTTTATCATTTTCTATAAGGATTTGTAATTAACATGTCCCAAACTTGTATGCCATAAATAACTTGACTCAAGTAAATACACGGAAGAACTTGCATTATTCTTTTTTAATAGCATTGTTCACGATAATAACTTTTAGCATGAAAAAAATCATCATTGAGATAACCCTTTCCCATATACATATCCTATTTACTTACTACAGCATTCTAGGAAACAAACACAACCTTGAATCCATGCTTGACCAAAAGTGAGGTGGACACCAAATTCTTGCAAATTTCAGGTACATAGAGTACAATGTTGAGTGTTACTACCTTGCTCGATATCATCTCCAAGTCGATCTTCCCACATCCCTCGACTTTGATAGTTGAAGAGTTCCCCGTGAACAACTTATCCTTTGGTTTAGCTACATCAGAGGAGGAAAACATCTCTTTGACAACACAAACATAGAAGGGAGTACTAGATTCTATCCACCACTCCTTTGAGTTTCCAACAAGTTACTTTCAGATAGAACAAAACACATGTCATCAATATCCATATAATTTTTATTCTCTACCACATTGGCTTGACCCTTATTCTTGTTCTTCTTTTTTAGCACAAAAGACCAAAACTTAATGGCAAGGTTTACTAAAATTATAGCAAGCACATTTGAACCTTGTGTTACGATGTTGTTCTTCATGCGGAGAAACTTGGGGAAGATTCCCTTTCTCTTATTTCTCTAGGAGTCAGTCTCCATAATGTTTTTTTATATATATGGTTGATTGTCCACAACTCTTCTTTTCAGTCAACCCATTAACCTCTTTAATTTTCAAACGGATAATGAGGTCCGTGCAAGGGGTTCTCAAGAATTCGTTTTCTCAAACGTCATCTTCTTGCGCTTGTGCTCCAAGTAACTTTTGAAATCCTTTCATGCGGAAGGCACTATCTCTATAAAGGCAGCAAATTGGAAAGCTTTGTTAACATTCATTCCTTCATTGAGAAGATCATGAGTTATTACCTGAAGTTCTTGGCCTTCCGTCACAATGGTCTTAGAGTCAACAATCTTGTACTCCAAAAACTTGGAAGCAATGAATTTCTTCAATCTAACATCTTCATCCTTGTACTACTTCTCCAATGTCTCCCACAATTCCTTAGAGGTGATCATGGTACTATAGAAATTATAGAGAGTCGTCTAGACCATTAAAGATATAGTTCTTGCAAAGAAAGTCATAATGTTTCCAAGCTTATATTGCATATCCTTCTCGAGCACTTGCTCATAAGGATTGGAGATTTTTTCCTTGGTGAACTTTTAAAGTCCCAACTTGGTGAAATAGAAGTACATCTTTTACTGCCACCTTTTAAAATCCTCATAAGAGAACTTACCTTTTTTTTTGTCGGTACAAATGTGTGTGTCGCAACATGGAGCACATCACTTTGGTTTGGTGTAACTTGGCTAGGAGTACCTACGTTTTTTCCCACGAATGTAATTCATTTTCTTTCTATTTCTCCTAATGGCAATCAAAATCAACAACTTATTAGTATTTTAGCCCTCTAATTTGTTATCATTGTACAACTGATTATTTCCACATGAACGATAAGATCATGCCAAATCCAAAAAAAAATCTCATTATTCACCTTCTTCTATGAAAAGATTCAAATTGGGTGCCATAGAACCTAGTCAGTAAAATCAACTTCATTAGCCATGTTAGCTTTGAGAAAACTTAGTAGAATATTCTATGAAAATACCTGAATGACCATGCTTACTAAAATTGTTTTACTATCGATATACATATCCCCTATCGGGTTAGAAACTTGTTTCACGAGATAGAAGATGACTTGGAGTAAGGTGATGGATCAATGTTAGCAACGAATTTGTCTTGCGCCCTTCGGACTCGTCCTCTAAAAGTAGTCTCATTAGAAAGAAGGATGATTCATCAAGTCTTTCAAGGTCAATCTTAAAGGTAGATCAATCAATAGAGTTTAACTGAAATGGGGATCTTACATTGTGTCCAAGTGCGAGATATAGGGTTTGGATATTGTAGTTCAATTATATTGTTGTACCCACAACTTATCCCTTAGACTACCTACACTCATAGCATACAATCACTTCCACCAGATCGTATATAGCCTTTAACGTACATTATTAATTAGTCATAATATTTGTCTAGTTTATTAATTGTGAATGATGCTACTGAATCTTATAAAATTCTACTGACTAATAATACAGATTAGAACACTTCTTAAAAAAAAACTCCTTTGGTAAAATGAACTTCCAACTGGATGAATTTCCTTTTATCATGAATTTTGGTCTCATAAAATCGGCGGTATTTGTTTTGAAGCCCGCCTTGTTTGATCCATGATTACAAAAGAAGAGGGTTCGTCCATAAAACTCTCTTTAAAAACGAGGCAGTCCAGCGAAACCAGCCTTTATCGACAGATGGAGAAATTCGAAGCAGCAAAAGAAGATACTATTACTCCTGCTCTCTGAGAAAACCCATCTCTCTGTCTCCACTCGACTCCTTTCCTCAATAGAGAAACAGAGAGAGACCCAGTCCCAAGCATGAGCTCCATGTCTGAATCAGAGCTAGTTCGTGTGGTTCTCTTCCTTCTCCCTTCCCTCCTCACTCTGCTCCTCATCCTCATCCTCAGAACCAAATCCCACCGCAGATTCAATCTCCCCCCAGGCAGCTCTGGCTGGCCTTTCCTCGGCGAAACGATTGGCTACTTGAGACCTTTCTCCGCCACTTCCCTCGGCGATTTCATGGACCAGCACGTCACCAGGTAAAAACAGAGCATTTGAATTATTTGTGATTTTTGTTTGTGGAACAGAGTAAAACTGACTGATTGTGCAGGTACGGGAAGATATACAAGTCGAATTTGTTCGGGGAGCGGACGATTGTGTCGGCGGACGCAGGGCTGAACCGATTCATACTCCAGAACGAAGGGAAGCTGTTCGAATGCAGCTACCCGAAGAGCATCGGCGGGATTCTGGGGAAATGGTCGATGCTGGTTTTGGTGGGAGATATGCACAAGAACATGAGAATCATCTCGCTCAACTTCCTTAGCCACGCCAGGCTGCGAACCCATCTCCTCAAAGAAGTCCACCACCACACTCTGCTTGTGCTCTCTTCCTGGAAGCACAATTCCACTTTCTCTGCCCAGGACGAAGCCAAGAAGGTAGACCAATTTCTTGCTCTGTTTTTATTTTCCAATTTTTCCTCTGCTTCGAGCTCTGTTTTTTCTTAAGATTCAAATTCTTGGACTTGGGCAGTTCACTTTCAATCTGATGGCGAAGCACATCATGAGCTTGGATCCTGGCGAACCGGAAACGGAGCAGCTGAAGAAGGAGTATGTCACCTTCATGAAAGGGGTTGTCTCAGCTCCCCTGAATTTTCCTGGAACTGCTTACAGGCGTGCCTTGCAGGTTCGTTTTTACCTTTCTTTCACCTTCCTTTTCATTATCTGTCATTTCCCTTTACTTAATTTCTTGTTTCTTCCCCTCCGGCGACAGTCGAGGTCGGCGATTCTGAAGTTCATAGAGAGGAAAATGGAGGAGAGGATAAAGAGGAGCAACGAGGTGGGAACAGAGGACGGGGAAGACGACGATCTCCTGGGCTGGGTTCTGAAGCATTCCAATCTCTCGACGGAGCAGATTCTGGACCTGATACTCAGCTTACTGTTTGCCGGGCACGAGACTTCATCTGTCGCCATTGCTTTAGCTATTTACTTCTTGCAGGGCTCCCCTGCTGCGCTTCAGCAATTACAGGCAAGCCAACAAAAAAGCACTACCCACTCGTGTGCTCTGTTTTTTCTCTTTTTCTTTTCTTTGAAGTCAGTAAGTCTGGTGGTCTGGTCAAAACTGATTTAACGTGACGGACAGTAAAAAAACAATAATACTAAATTTACCCTCTGGTGACCTTTTTCCATATTTGGGGGCAAAAAACAAAAGGAAGAGCACAGTGAAATCGCCAGGGCCAAAAAACTAGCAGGGGAGGCCGAACTCAACTGGGAAGATTACAAGAAGATGGAATTCACCCAATGTGTAAGCTCCCTCTCTTTTTATTACTACCCTCCAAAAGAGCTTTCTGAAATTGTCGGCAGTAATTTTTTCTTTTTTTTTTACAGTTTGACCTGTTGGATACAAAATGGTTTAGGACAAATGGAACTGAAATGCTAGTTTTGTTTGAAAGGTTATCAGTGAGACGCTCAGACTTGGAAACGTGGTGAGGTTCCTGCACAGAAAAGCTTTAAAAGACGTTCGCTACAAAGGTAACAAACTTATAAATGATAACAAGTTAAAAGTTTATTCTCATAGCGATCGGTCTAATTGCTCAAATGGTCGATCGGTGATTCGGTATTTATAAATGATTTCCTTGCAATAGTATTATGACGCGTTTTATGGTACGCATCGAATTTGCTCGTAGTAATGGGATTTTGGGGTTTGATTGGGTTGGTTAGGGTATGACATTCCATGTGGATGGAAAGTGCTGCCGGTGATATCGGCTGCCCATTTGGATGGTAGTATGTTTGAAGACCCTCAACACTTCAACCCGTGGAGGTGGCTCCAGGTCAGCCCTCACTTCCACTCCTTCCGCCGTATTGTGTGTATTACATTATTTTATTTACTTATACACTTTAAAAAATAATTAATAAAAATAATATCCCTTTCGAATTTTAAAAAAAATAAATTTAGAAAAATGATAAGAGCTTTTGTTTGTTCTCTTGGCACGACTCTGCACATAAACATTGTTACTACGCCATGAGAACGACCCTTCCTTCCTCTCTTTCATTTATTAGACCCAAGGTTGTCAAACCGGTTTATGCCAGTGTGCCGGTTTAGCAAGTGGAATGGTTCAACCGGTGGTACATACCGGTTTGTGCCGGTTCATGCCGGTTAATATTATAAATAATTTATATATTATCATATTCAAACACGACATTTAATGTCAATATCTAAATATTTGTACTTTAATCCAACAAATAAACATCAACATTTAACTTTTTAACACATAAAATAAATAATAAATTACTTTTTATCAATTAAATTCACTAAAATAAGATCATTTTATTTGGAGATTCGTATATCGATCATGCTGGTCATACCGGTGCTGTCATGCCGGTTTTATGACCGGTACAGGTTGAACCAGGTTGAACCACTGGCACGCCGGCCGGCGTGACAACCATGATTAGACCCAAAGGGCAGGGTTAATGCTAGTTTTTATATAAAGCTATTACCCTCCCTAGGATTCGGAATTTCCTTCTCGAACACAAGTACTAAATTATCCTTCAATCTAATATAATATAAGTTAGTCGTTACAAAAACACACTATAAAATGAAAGATGTATGTTGTTGTCAGATGCAAAGCAAGTTGGGATAAGTAAGCTTTAGAATTAAAAAAAAAATAAGACAAATACGGCTTTGCTGTCAGATATTCATTCAAGAGATCTCTGGCTGTTAGGGCAATTTAATTAATTAATTACATAGTTAAACATAATCAGGAGGGTTTATGAGGTCATCTCATGCATGATCATGTTCAATAATTTAATTACAACACCAATGGCCAATGGGAGGTGGATAGCAGAAAAGTGAAAATCCAGAATACAAAAATGAATCAGGGCCGTCGGATTAAAGATTGGGGTTGGGGGGAGAAGTCAATCATATGATCTCCGTCCGTGCGTGAACTGTCGTGATCATTGAAGAGGGGAGGATGGGGTTGGTGCTTTGTTGTAGAACCGGCCCCACTGGATTTCTGCCCCTTCGATTTTGGGTTGGTGCGCGTGTGGGTGGGAACTTCGAGAGGGGACGATTATTAATTTAAATAAAAAAAATTTATAATATTAAAAAATTCCTTTTTCCCCCCTTTACTCCCCAGGCCCCCATGTGGATTGTGGGCCTATCAACTACACGTGCGCCTCTGCCTTTTTCCTTCTGTTCATCTCTCTCTCTGGGTCATCTACCTATTACTACTACTGGCCTGCTCTGCTCTCCCGGGCCCAGTCCAATTAATATTGGCTGTGAACCCCATTCCCTTTCTTCTTTTTCCTTATATTCTCTCCTTATAAATTATTATAATAATATTCGAATATTTGCGATAAAAAAATAATGTTCGAATATTTACTGTTTCCTCAACTTTATTTATTTATTTCTGACATCAACTTAAAGCAAATTAAAAGGTTCGTTTTTCCATATTAAATTCACTGCCGCCAACAGTGAATTAGGGCTAATTAAATGAGTTATTTTAAATTAGAGGAATTCTGGTTCGTCCAAAACCGCCCAGATGAGACAAATTACCCGTTTGGTAACTGTCCAACTCATAGGTTAAAAAAAAAAAGCAACAATCCAGAAAGGATAAGGAGAGGTCATGGCCAATTGGCCATCCCGTTAACATCCCTAGTTTTACCGAGTCAATTTGATGACAATATTTACTGATTTTTTTTATACTGCGGTGATAACAGAACAACAACGACGGCCGGGGATCGCCAAGCGCGACGACGGCGGCGGCGAACAACAGCAAGAACAGCAACAACTACTTCATGCCGTTCGGCGGCGGGCCGCGGCTGTGCGCAGGTTCGGAGTTCGCGAAGCTGGAAATGGCGGTTTTCATCCACCATCTGGTCCTCAACTACCGGTGGGAATTGGCTGACGAGGACCAACCTTTTGCATTCCCTTACCTCGATTTCCCCAAGGGATTACCGATTACCGTCAAGCGCCGGGACATGGGCACCTAAGCTGATCAGGTTGCTGGGCCCGAGGCCCAGAGGAAGGGAATCCCTTTTGAGCAGCCCAGGCCTGAAAATATTGTGCAAATTGTAGAGATTTGGGTCCATAGAGTGCAAGTCTTCTGTTCCATGCCCATAATATGTTACATAGCAATTCAATGAGTTGAAGAGAAGGTTGCAATTAATTATGAATGTATAGGAGGTTAGGACCATATATATGTGTATCAGTTTCGCATCTTTCCCACTTGCTTCCCCTGTACTTCTGCTCCACATTGTAAATTTTACTAGCTATTCAAGGCAGGATGCTTGCTATGAAATTTTGTTTCTTAAGATTTTTCTTTTTCACTTTTGCACGTATAAGCGGTATAGTTTCCGGTGCGTAACTTCTAAATCAAGTCTTGGGTCCAGATTTGATAATTGAGATTGAAGGATTTAAAATTTTCCTGATTGTATCGCATTCTTTTTAATTTGAATTTTGAAAAAATTTCACCTAAAGTTCATTGTGAACAACAAATGTTGTCCATTTTTTTATTTAATTAGGAGAAAATTTGAGAACCACCCTCTACCTCCTTCATTTTAACTAGAATTTGAAAAAAAAAAATCTCAGAAAGAAGTAGTTCGCTGTGATATGCAAAATTATGTCAATTTTTTATGTGTGTCGGTTTCGGAACCATTACCATCGTTTATCATAGTGGTAGACGGCGAAAGATGTTTGCATATTTCTTTCACCAAATATACAAACATTCTACACTATAATACATTCATATCACCATGGTACATTTTCATACCGCCATAATATAATACAATATTATACATTATAATATAATATTCCATACCACTAAAATATTATGGTAAAAAGTGCAACGCGATTAGTATTTTATTTTAAGGATGCTCAAAGGGAGGAAAATGTTGGACTTGTGAAGTATAATTGAGTGGATCAAGAGAGGAACACACATAAATTTCTAACTATATATACGCGAATTAAATAGGTCTCAAGTGATCTTATATTATATGGATGCACAAACAATCCAAGCGACGAGCTCAGACTACGTGTCATATTCAACACTTTTGATCTTCTTTCTCTAACTACTTTGCGTACAAACTTTATATTATGAAATGATTTGATCGTCATCGAATGTAAATCATGGATCGTCCCCCGCTTCGCGCGGTAGCCTTCCTCCACTTGGAAGAGATTGAAAAACCGAAAAAAGTGAGTAAGCAGCACCCCACACATATCTAATCATCGTTGTATGCCAACAACTATTTGCTATAATTTTCAAGAGAAGTTGATCAAATGGGGGAATTAAGTCAAGTGCAATGAAATTGTACAATAGCAATTAAGTGATACAAGACAGACACTAACAGGGAAAAGGGCTATGTGAGGAGACCATCATTCCATAATACTCCATATATGGGAACTTAAACGTTGACAAGTCTGTGTGTTTTTTCCCTTCTTGCTCTCTACCGACCGTCGCTCTCCTGCAACAGAACTGAGCCAAAACCAGATCTATTCAGATTTCAGTATCACTACAGAAGTTAGGTCTACTTTCGTTTTCCGAGGTTTTTATAACGCAAATTGTCGTCTTTCTTTGTCCCCAATCATACATGGATATGTGTCTCCAAGCGCTCTGCTCTGTCTCAGCGTGTGAAGCAGCAGCAAAGCCACGCCGCTAATAATATGGCCTGAAAATGTGCACGTACGTAAATTTATGGCTGTGGGTTTTCCAAGGTTGTCAAACCGGTTTAAGTCGTTGAGTCGGTCAAGTAAGAGGTTTGAGGTTTAATGGTCTGATCGGGGCCCCGACCGGTTTGAGCCGTTGTAGACGTTTTCTAAATATATATACAAATAAGGTAGTAATTAAAGATTTCATCACTGAAATGAAATTTATCTTACATGTATCTATTAAAAACTTATTTTCCACCGCTTAAATCTATCTATGACTCACCCACCATCTCCCTTTCTTCCTTCCTCTTCCTCTCTTTCCCCTCTCCTTTTCTCCCTCTTTAGGGGTCAGATCAAAGACTTTCTAAAAACCATTTTGAAGCCCGACTAAAATCGAATTGGGTTCAATCGAGGTTTGACAACCTTGAGGTTTTCATAGGGATGGCAATGGGTCGGGTCGGGGGCGGATAGTGCATATCCGTTACCCTACTCAAAGTACTTCGGGTTTTACCCATACCCATACCCACATGTGAAACGGGTAGAAAATCAAAACCATGCCCATACCCGTTCGGGTTTCGGGTATCCACGGTTATCCATGGATATTAATTTATCTTCATAACTCCAACCAATATGTTAACATTCACACGTATTCTTATATTAAGTAAGAAAAAAAGTACGACAAGAATTCACTAGAATGAAGAAAATTAACTAAAAACAACACAATTTCATGAAAATGTTATATTTATATGCTAAATATAAAATATGTTAGAGAAAAATAATGATTATTTCTAGACAAAATACGTATGCATGTGTATAATCGGGCGGGTTCGGGTCGGATAGTGAGAAATTCATGCCCACCCATTACCCGCAATATTCGGGTTCGGGTTTTACCCGTACCCACTAAATGTCCTTCGGGTTCGGGTTTTACCCTACCCGATTAGGCCGGATTCGGGCGGATATCCACGGTTACGGATATTTTTGCCATCCCTAAGTTTTCACACTTCTCTAGCGTATAGTGGAGTACAGACCCAAAACCTAAACAGTCCGCCATTTGTCGTCTTTCTGGACCTCGCTTTCATTTGGTAGAAATTATGTCTGTTCTCCGAACTATCCAATTCAGTTATGGGATAAGTTGATTGCTAAGATGATGCTGAAGCATTCAATAATTGAAAGGTCATATGATTACAACCCTGATGGACTCATCACCGATCAGATTCTTGTTGTTAACTCTCAATATCTCGCCGTCAGCATCTGTAGATGAATAAATTTTGTATGTTCACCTAAACATAATTTTGTAACATATCGATTATTTACAAGATATTTATAGTCATTATAAAGGTCAGATTAACTATAACAATTAATACTATTTAAACAGCGTGTCATGGTACTAGATTTTTAAGCCAAAACGACTAAATCTTATAGAATGCGCTACTCTTGTCACGAGAGAGCTAAGTCTGAGACGACCATGTTGATCGCGAGATCTGATCGTCTTAATCGCGAGATTTGACCACGTTAGTTGTGAGATCTGGCTGTGGTGAAGAGGAGGCAAGCGCCAAGACTTCAATTCCAGAAGAGAGCAGCGCATGGGGGGTTGAGGGAGCAACTGTCGATTATTCCACATTCGAGAACACGCCAGCCACGTCCGAGGAAGAAGGGAGGTGCTTCTCTTTGGAAATTACTCAACGACGGTTACCTCCTCGTGATTATAAATAAGAGGATGAATTGACAGAGGAGGGGTTCGCAAAAATCACAACCCTACACCACTTGTCAAGTTTTTATCATTTTTATCTTTCCTCTGCAACTTTCAGTCATAGTTATGAAGCTCTTACTGAACTTCCAAAGATGTAAGGCTAATTTAATGTAGATATGTCTCGTGAGTCGTAGAAATATTGAGCACCCTCGTTCAATTTTTGTTTGAAGAAATGAGAACTGTGTTTAACTTAATCGTTATTCAAGAAGTCAAGGTGCAATCAATTTGATTTTTCAAAGGAAGTTTTCTCACGAAAATACAGTTCTCTAGGTGTTTATTACTGTATTTGTCGATTGTTGTCGATCTACCTAGGTCAATTCTCATCATGTTAGATCCACCTCCTCATTAACTTGTGCGAGTCCTTGGTCTACATCAACTTCAGCCAATCCACACGAGCTCTGTGGCGGTTATAGGGTGAAAAAGGTTATTTCATCAACAACAAAATCGACATCCGATAATCATACTCTTTCTTATAATCGAACCATAGATGTTCCATTTTCGGAACTAAAAACCATCTAAATCCCCACCTATGCTTGCTTATGTCGTGTATTTGTAATACTAGTAACATGTTCGTATCAATTTTGATTTGATCAAAACCTCTATCACAATACAATGGGCTTTAATTATCCAACTGCATCTAGCTTCATAATCTTTTTCCCCGGCTCACGAGACATTGAAAGGCTATGCACAAGCCCAATTTTTGGCAGGTCCTTGGACCGATAACAGATTTATGATCCGATGGACCCAAACTCAAACACGTCGGACTCCAGCACCGGCCCAATTCTAAAATGAGTCACTTTTGTCAGGCCGACACCACCTGCCCTTCCGTCCATATCGCCAATCCATTCTTCCTATCGGTTGGGAATCAATTCGGAAGGAAGTCAATTACGCAAAAGAAGAGAAAAGGTGCATATGTTTCCGTCCTCTCCATCGTCGGCTTTTTGTGGTGGATCCGCAGGCATCGTGGCTAAACCCACCATCAGTGAAACCCCGGCGTGGCTGCAATTGTAACAGCAATGCCCATTTTAGGTACTCGTCTTCCCTCACGGCCGGCCACCATCGCCACCGACGGACGTAGTAGGCCGCACCTCCCCAAGTCCCTTCTCTATGAGTAATTAATGCTGGCAACTACAACCTACGTTCAAACACACCATGCTTTTATCTGTATCACCTCCCTAATTACGATTTGACGTAATTAACCCTAACCCTAACTCTACTCATCTAATCTAATTGATATTATCTATCAAACATTACTCAGAGTTAATGACTACTTGTAAGATGTAATTTGCCACGGCGAAGATATAGAATTTCGATTGAAAAATTATAAATGTAAGAGATCAAATATTGTTTGAAATTTTTTAGGAGGATACAAGATTCTATGTGACATCAACAAAATTATACGAGACTTGTGTCTTTTTCATTTTTCGATTATGTATTTTGTTGGGTATTATTGTTTTAATAATTTGAAAAATATTCATGTTCAATTATCACAAAACCTAGTATTCGCAATTTTTGCTAGGAGCAGTAGCTCGATTCCGATATTTAAGACGAGTGTATCATTCTGCTTCTGAGATACTGAAACTATTATTCGAGAGGACTAACGACTTATGAGAAATCAAATTGAGGTTATGCCCCTTAAGAGCTATGAGTGTGTAACTTGAAAGAATGAGTTTGGAGAATATGAACATGAATATTTATAGTTTGGTAACTCTTTATCAGGTTTGAATGTAATTTTGTGCTCAGTTCTAGCTCAATCTTGAGCTATAACGAACATTTATGTGTTGAACTGGATTTTGGATTCGTTAAGCTTATTTGGTGAACCGAGCTCGAGCTTTCATTTTCATAAACGAGCCAAAATCGAACTTGTATATTAAAACTCGTGCCGAAACTCGAGCCTGGAAATATATTGACGAGCCGAACCCGAACTATGGTAAAGTTCGGCTCAGCTCATTAACAGCCTTATTAGCAAACCTTGTTTTAGTTACGAGTTATGACTTTATGAGTTAGATGTGTTTTTTTTTTGTCAAAGGTATCCCACAAGATGGGAAACAACAAGATACGAAATATAAGTACAAAACCTTTCCATGTCAAATTACAAAAGATTAATAAGGAAGAAGCGTCGGAGTAGAATGTGATTATTGACATGTAATCGTACTAGCTAATTTGTCAAGAGAAAAAAAAAAAGAAGTTTAAGTAAGTGACTTCGTCGCCATTAAAGTTGAGGCAGATGGCTAGTTTGCGTAATTTCTCATACTATGATGGCATGGCATGGCATCGAATGCAATTTACCCGAGTCGGTTCCCTCCAGGCTCCGACCGAACCGGGTGGCATTTCAGTAGTTTTCCGAAACAACAAGGCCCTTTTGAATCAGTGACCTCGTCACATTCATGCATCATCCTTTTCAATTTGTTAGGACCTTTGTGCTTAATTAAGTTGAACACTCGGCTGCCTTGAGGCTCTCTCCACCCAACCCATTTTGGAGACTTTCCGCCTCCGCCGTCTCTCATCCTCCCACTTTCCATCCACGGATCTATCTCTGTACACTGGTCGGAGCAAGTGCTGATTCGGGTGATCAAATTCATTGGGACTGGTCATTACCGGAGTCCGACGAACGAACGGAGTTGGATTTATATCGGAAAAAAGATGTGGCGGTGTGTCGCTCGCGGCCTTCGCGTTCCTTCTTCTTCTTCTGGCAAGCGATCGATCTCTAAGGACTCGCTTAGATCTCACATTACCAGATTCTTCTCAACCAGCCCGGTACAGCCTGCGTTCCTCGTTTTTATTGGATCAGCTTTTCACCTCGCTTTCGTTTCATGGCCAGCTGAGCTGAATCTCTGACTGGAATTCGCAATTAGGATTCGCTGTTCACTCGTTGCATGTATTTGTGTTTAACTTTGCTGTTCTTTAGTTTCCTGTTAGTTATGTCAAGTTTAGGCTAGAACTAGAATATCATTCAGCAGTTTCGGAATTGAGAATTCTTGGATCCCTTTCCATTTCTATTTTGTTGTGATTATCTGAAATTCTCAGCGGCGTATCAAGCGAAATTTTGGATTGCTGCTGTTGGTTTTGTGTGTGTGGTTTTCTTGGGTCTGGAAAATAATGATGGTTTGTGATACTGTTGGTTGCAGACTTCTTCATATACAATTGTTGATCATACCTATGACGCGGTTGTGGTCGGAGCTGGTGGCGCAGGGTTGAGAGCAGCCATCGGTTTGTCAGAGCATGGTTTTAACACAGCTTGCATTACAAAGCTTTTCCCTACCCGGTCGCACACAGTTGCAGCTCAGGTATAGTTTCCGGTGTATTGGGTTCCCTGTCATTAAGAAGTGTGCTCTAATTTTACTTGCTCTTGTATTGTATGTACTATGAATTTCGGTAGGACAAATTGTACATGGTCAGTGATGTTCCATTATATTGTTATGCACCCTTCGTTAACAAAGAACGATGGATGATTAGACCAGTAGATGAGTCTGTCTGTCCAACAATCCATGGTGTTTAGGATTGCTAGGGGTATCTGATGTTTTTTTTTACCTCAAATAGTTGGCCTTGAGCTAGTGGGTACGGGGTTGCTCTAGCCACTTGATGATACCGTAGGAAGCGTGGCGTTGTTTGCTAGCTTGTACATAATCTTTCTTGGTTTGATGGCACAGGGTGGTATCAATGCCGCTCTTGGGAATATGAGCGAGGATGATTGGAGATGGCACATGTATGACACTGTCAAGGGCAGTGACTGGTTAGGTATGCTCTTTCCCTTTTGTGATATTGGTGGTTACTACTGTTGCTTAAAGTGTTAGTATACTGAAGGGAAAGCTGTTTAAGGTATTTCCTAGCTTCACAATACTTTAGGGATTGTTTGAGTTATTATCTTTAATCATGTAATTGCTTTTCCTGTATGTCAACTCGGTTCTGTAATGTTATCTACATTACCTGGGCTGCCTCTTGCATTGTTGAGCTTTCCCTTTTGGCCCTCTTCTTTATCTTCAATGTTGAGTTGTAGATTGATGTCCAAGAACGTATCAACAGGTGATCAAGATGCCATTCAGTACATGTGTCGTGAAGCACCAAAAGCTGTCATTGAACTTGAGAACTATGGGCTACCTTTCTCTCGTACAGAGGACGGGAAAATCTATCAGCGAGCGTTTGGTGGTCAAAGTTTAGATTTTGGAAAAGGTAATGGAAAACTAGAGTTTTAACTTGCTGTATAAACTAAATGGATTGGCTGTGGTGATAGGCTTTTGACAATGGAATCTTCTCTTCTTGTTGTGATTGATGCAGGCGGACAAGCCTACCGTTGTGCTTGTGCTGCTGACCGAACTGGGCATGCTCTTCTGCATACTCTCTATGGCCAAGCAATGAAACACAATACTCAGTTCTTTGTGGAATATTTTGCTTTGGACTTGTTGATGAGTAGTGATGGTACACTTGTTTCCCCCTCAATAAGCATATTAGGGCTGGTTTGTGACATGTCCTCTTGGTTTTTCCGTGATCAATAGTCAGTAATGTTGGGTTCTGCAATGTCATTGCTCTCTATTATTGTTGTTTGACCCACGGAGTTTGATAATTTCGTCCCAATAGAGTCTTGGGCTCCTTGTATTAAGGGCATGGACCCTGTAACTCATCACCTTTGCATATTCCATGTTTGTTGCATTTGAATGACTCTATAGCGACGTGTCTTTGACATATTCACTTGCTTTTGCTTTGTGTACACAGGGCATATTATAGTTTCACTTTAGCCTCACTCTGGACTGTGGAATAACTTGTCAGTTATCGTTTTATTCAGGAACCTGTCAAGGTGTAATTGCCCTTAATATGGAGGATGGGACATTACATCGTTTCCGTTCCTCTTCAACTATTCTTGCCACCGGGGTATTTTACTTAATTGACATCATTGCTCTTAGTTGAAAAGCACTTTGGGCCCTTTATAATTATGCGTCTTCTTCTTTTGAGTTCAGGGCTATGGTAGAGCATACTTCTCTGCGACCTCAGCTCATACATGCACCGGAGATGGCAATGCCATGGTTGCGAGAGCTGGACTTCCTCTTCAGGTTACCTATGTTTATAGATTTTGGAATGGGCCCCATATGCAATGATCTCCCTTTCTGTTTTAACATTGTTGGTGACTTGTACTTTCATGCAGGATCTGGAGTTTGTGCAGTTCCACCCTACTGGCATATATGGAGCTGGATGCCTTATTACCGAAGGTTAGAACTTTTTCAAACCCATGGAAATCTCTAGGCCCACCCTTATCTTTCGGTTTGTGTCCTTTAATATCGCTATCTACTTCTGTTGGGGGTGGTAGTTTGTTTTAGTCTGAAGTGAATCTTTTTTTCCTCATGTTACCTGTGATTTGTAGGATCTCGTGGTGAGGGTGGTATCCTTAGGAACAGTGAAGGGGAAAGATTCATGGAAAGGTATGCCCCTACTGCTAAGGATCTTGCTTCAAGAGATGTTGTTTCAAGATCCATGACCATGGAAATTCGGGAGGGCCGTGGCGTAGGTATGATTGTTTCACTCAACTGTACATCGTTTTTTCTTCATGCTTCGTACTTCTTTTCATGGTTGGGAATTGGGATATCCTTATTAGTCATTTGCATGACAGGTTATGGTTCTCGCATAAGAATGCTTTGAACTTGACAAAATATACATGGATTAGTGAGCAGAAACTATGTTCAGTTTATTTATGATGTGTCATAGTTTATCTGTTCATGCTCGATTTTGGTTCAAGATTAACAATTATGATAAAGATTAGTCAGCACTTTCTTGAAGTTGGTATAACTATTCTATACTTAATGTCCGTTACCCTTATGTAACTAACTGAAAGTTTATGCATTCTCTGTCAGGACCATTGAAGGACCATATCTTTCTGCATTTAAATCATTTGCCACCAGAAGTACTCAAGGAAAGGCTTCCTGGTATCTCTGAAACTGCTGCAATCTTTGCTGGAGTAGATGTTACAAAGGAACCAATCCCTGTGCTTCCTACTGTTCATTATAACATGGGCGGAATTCCCACAAATTATCATGGAGAGGTACGACTTAGGGAACTATATCCATTCCCCCCCCCCCCCCCCCCCCCCGCGATATATGAACAAATCAAGGACGAGGTCAAGAAATCTACATATTCTGAAGAGCAGAGAACATGTTAGATGTATTTGCCTGAAGTACTTGAACCGTTATCATAGGGGCTGATTGCCATCTCATCTATTGTCTTATATCTGTCCTTCAGGTGGTTACTGTGAAAGGCAACGATGCAGATGCTGTAATCCCCGGTTTAATGGCTGCTGGAGAGGCAGCATGTGCATCTGTTCATGGGGCAAACCGACTTGGTGCAAATTCTCTTCTTGATATTGTTGTTTTTGGTCGTGCTTGTGCCAACAGAGTGGCGGAGATCCATACACCAGGCAAGTCCATAGTAATAGTATGATGAAGTGACTAGTGTCCACAACCCAAATATAATAATGGGGACTTTATGAAAATAACGGTTCTACTTGTCTACCTCTACAGGGGAGAAACAGAAGCCTTTGGAAGCAGATGCTGGAGAGAGGACTGTTGCGTGGCTTGACAAGATTAGAAATTCGAATGGATCACTTCCAACTTCCAAAATTCGGTTAAATATGCAGAGAGTGATGCAAAATAATGCTGCAGTCTTCCGTACACAGGAAACTCTGGAAGAAGGTACGTCAGTTTTTTAAGTCTCATGTCATTCCCTTTGTTTATGACACAATTTGTTATGTCTCTTTCCAAATATGTCCCATGCCTTATTACTCTTCTCGATCGCAGGTTGCCAGCTGATTGACAAAGCCTGGGATAGTTTCCATGATGTTCAGCTGCAAGATAGAAGTTTGATATGGTATGGTTAAACCAAAGAACAATTGATATTTGACCGTAAACTTCTAATTGTTTTCCTAGTGATTTGACAAATGGTTTTGTGTACAATATGGATTATGTAGGAACTCTGACTTGATTGAGACGATAGAACTGGAAAACCTCCTGATCAATGCGTGCATCACAATGCATTCTGCCGAAGCTCGGAAAGAGAGCAGAGGAGCACATGCTCGCGAGGACTTCACTGTGAGTTCAATTCCACTTTTCTGGCTTCAAATTTTCATTCTTTATGGGACGGTGTAGATATCTCATTTTTGTTGCACTGGTGCAGAAAAGAGACGACGAGAAGTGGATGAAGCATACTTTGGGGTAAGCCTCTTAATCCCCCTTACTGGAGTGGAGTGGAAAGATTGCTTTTCGGTTATAATCGGAAAGCTAATGGATGATTGATCATGCCTTCTCTGTTTCTTTTGGGTGTTTCAGATACTGGGAAAACGAGAAAGTGCGGCTCGAATACAGGCCAGTACACATGAACACATTAGACGACGAGGTGGAAACGTTCCCACCTAAAGCTCGCGTGTATTGATCATATAGATAGTTTCTTTTGCCCGAGTGAGACTTCGGAATGAATGGCCGTTTTACTGGAGTGGCCAACAAAGCATTGCAATAAACCCCCCCAGGACGCCAATAAATGATAGGACATGCTGCAATAATTTGTTTGTACTAGGAATAGCTTCTTTGGCAAGAAAAAAGATTGGTTGGGTTCATTCGTCTGGAGATTACAGCAACGTCTAGGATCAGATTTGGTAAAAAGGATTCGACAATGTAAGTTTTTAAAAGTTCGTTGTTAGCTTGGTCCCCCGAAATGCGGGGTGATTGTTGATTGTTGTTTACGTTTCTTTCCTTTGTTTCCAAGTCTCTAGCTGCGCATAAGCTGCAAAATGTGTGTCGAGCATGAATCCATCGCTTCATTATACGTTTAGATCAGTATTTGTATCAGTTTTCATTCTTAATGCACTCTTAGCTTTGGACTGTACTCGACCTAGTTCCACAAATTTTCATGGATGTTTCTCCAAACTCCAAAGGGTAAATCTCAAATATCAACTAATGCTCAAAATCGATCACAATTCAGAATCGTTCGGGATTTGAGTCACAAACCGAAATATAACCTTTCAGCTTAATTTCTTGCTCTGTTTCTGATGGTACCAAATTACTGGATTTATTAACCGTGGGTGTAACTATAGAGTAATTGGGTCCTCATAGGAGTTGAATGGTGAATTTGTTGGGTTTTAGATATAAATATATAATTTTTTATAAAAGATAAATCATATATTAATAAATAAATAAAATAATTACATCCTGGAATTTAACCAAGTCATAAAATCAAAGAAGCGACTCGTAGTCGGATACAAATGAAGGGCCTTCCTAGCCACCAAATGGGCTACCCTATTACTACGCCGACCTACAAACCGCGCAGTGAACCCTCTTTGGTTTGATAAGCAATGCACAACTTCGCCAAGTAGGGCTCCAATCCGGTTGTCTCTGATATCAAATTGGTTAATTTTATCAATAACCATCTTTGCGTCCTCTTCAAATCGCATTTCCGTAAACCCAGACGCTAGAGACCAAAGAATTGCCTCCCGGAGAGAGAGCACCTCAGTAACCAAAGGATCATCAATCCTGGCAAATTGAACTCCTTTAGGTAGTAGAACCTCCCCTGCCTGATTCATAAAAATCATTCCTCCTGCCGAGTGAGATGCATGTTTGATAGCCCCATCCCACCTATAAATAATTGGACAAGGGAGGACATCCCCCATAGGTTGATCGGTTGGGGCAGGGAACCCCTGAATCCTACCAACAGGCAAACTTACCCATTCCTGATACTGTTGATTGAATTGCCGCATGAGGGTTGGGATCCCAAACTGTTTGCCTTCAAAGACAACCCAATTTCGAGACCGTCAGATTCACCAAAGAATTGTAGCAATTGCCATAAACAGTTGAGGTTGGTGAGTAAGCATCATCAACTTTTTCAAGGAATAATGGAAAAGTATGCCGAGACAGCCCTTGACCGAGATACTCCAATCCCGCATAGTCCCACAAAGCCCTAACAACTGGGCAATCAAGGAACAAATGCTCCATCGTCTCTGATTCCGCCCAGCAAATCGGACATCGAGGATGGACTTGGATATCCTTCTCAATAAGAGCTTCGATCGTAGGGAGGAGACGATTGAAAACTTGCCACAGAAAAAATTCGTAGCTTGGGGGGGAATAGAAGCTTCCTATAACCGAATTCAATTGGGCCTATCCATCCAACTCACCAGCGATCTCCACCAGCCTTTTTTATCCAGCAAGACTGTCAAATGGGAAGTTGATTTCACCGTAAAAGCCTTATCTTTCGTTTCATGCCAAACAAAGCGATCCTCAATATTATGTCGTGGGAGAAGGATTTCTTTAATAGCACGACAAGTAGGCGAGTCAAACCACTGGCTAAACTTTAAGCCACACCAACATCCTTCCCCTTGCCATATAACTTCAGCAAGCACAAGTTTACCATCTTCTAGCAATACTTGAGGATTGAAAGTCGGAGCATCGGGGTGTAGCCGAGGCACCCAATTGGTGTGAAGCAACGGGGCAGACTGGCCATTACCAATTTGCCATCTAAACCCCTGCTCCAACAACTGCCGACCAAACTGAATGCTTTGTCAATCCCAGGATGGGCGAGATTAAGCAGTAGCCATAAGGAAGCACCTTTTCGAAAAATATTTTCCCTTATAAACTTGGACAATTCTCAATGTATGCTTATGGTAAACATCAGAAGGCGGAGGTTTGCGGACGACTACATATACTCAATTAGATTGACCATAAGGTTGGTCAAATCGATACATGAACAATTAGGGAGACCACATGATCGATCCGGTAGACTATTAATTTCTAAGTTTTGTTAAGTCTCCCCATAGTTTATATATGTGAAGACGTTGTAGACTTTGGAAGCGAAAATGATGAGCATAAAAATGACTCACATTGAAGGGAAATGAATATAGAATTCAGAATCCATATTGAATTATTAAAACTTAATCCACATACAAAAATGTAACTCTTCATGGTTTACATCGACCACATGTCCAAAGTAACATTACATTCTCATCTTCTAAAACTTATTTTAATCCATAGACCCTAGGCCACCAAACCCCCCTAAATCATAGTCCCTCTATCCTAAACATCAAAATCCTAATCCATAAACCTTAACACTCAAAATATTAACCTTTGAAGAAACTTAAAACATAAATTTCCCTAAATCCTAATTCCTAACCCTTGAACCCCCTAATAACCCAAACCCTAAACTTTGGATTGCCAAACGCCTAACCCTAGACTAATCTTAAGTTCTAAACTTGAGCCTTAACACCCAAACTCTAAACTCTAATCCCCTGAACCCTGAACCGCCTAAATTGTGAAACTTTTAACATTATCTAAACTTTTTCATGTGTAGGTTCAGGTTTGCTATGAATGAATAACCTTTTTGTATGTTATTATAAATGAACCAACTTTACTTCTTGATTTTATATTCATGCTTCTTCGTTATCTTTGATGTTATATTCATCCTTGTCGCTTTTAGAGTATTCGGTGCCTCTACCCAAGTTACCAATAATTTTTTTTGATAAAGCTATGCAAAACTTAAGATAGATATATTTACAGAAGGAGAAGTGGTAAATGTAAGTCACCTTATGGTTTACCTAATTGACAATGTGGTCGATCTGACCAATTTTGTAGTCCACCAAATTTTTTTGATCAAACTCTACGTAAAATATACTCGTTCTTCACAATAAGTTATATTAGCAAACTGTTAATTTCTCCGATTGTTTACATTTTTTCACGTACTTCAACTTTTACGCATGTGTTATAATATCAGCACCACAAGAGTACTCAAAGCTGATAGAATGGATTTCTATTAAGTCTAGCAGTTGATCCTATGTGCTGCATTTGAAATAATCTCATAAATCGTGACCAAACTTTCAATCTTTAAGTGCAACTATTCACATCAAATGACGAAAACCACCTAAACCCAACAACGTGTTACATTTCTTTGCCGCGATTTACAAAATCATCACTACGCCGGTTGATACTGTGGGTGGGTCAGCCGCCATAGGCAATACCTTCCATGTAATTTATTTAAACAAAGATGATGATTACGGTGTAGAAACATACACCAAAATCCAACAAATAGGAGTGCTCCCACGAAGGTTGGTCTCCATGTTGGCGTCCTCTGGACAGCGACGGTCGTCTCCTTCACATACACTGATTGTGCTCTCTCTCTCTCTCTCTCTCTCTAAATCTTCCTGCTGCTGCTTTATATAATTCATCGAAAGATCAATCCATCCATCCACAGTGCCCAACAAACAATAGCTTGGCGTACTATATGACATAACATAGATTTATATTTCTAAAGCAACAATCATTTTCTCGTAGAAAGTTAATTAAGAGTCGTATTTGTTGCAGAAACCTTCTTCGACCGTCGCTTTCTCCGTTCTCTCCGCAATTATTGACTACTCAACTTAGGGCGGTGGTGGTGATCTTTAGTTAGCTCCCACTTTTCACTTTTGGGTCTACTTTCCACGTATTACTACATAAACCTCAACGCTTAGTACATGTAAACCCACTGAAACGGGAGTTCTAATATGGTAACACTTACACTATGTTCATTTGGGAAGGAAAGAAACGGAAGAAAAGTGTCAGTTTCAAAAAAAACTTTCCCCCGTTTTCGTCTTTTCGAAGCTAGCAACAGTGAGGAGGAAAAGAAAATAGGAGATAAAATCTCCTGTGCAACCAGACCCTCCGAATTGGAAGGAAAACTTCTTCTCCAACGCTCTCTTTCTTTTTTTTTTCTTTTTTCTTTCCCCGTTTGCCATTTATCTTTCCTTGTTTAATGATAATAAATAAATATTAGTAAGTGAAATTACGTGAGTTTATTTTATTTGTTTATAATAAAATTAATTCTTTTCTCTTTCCTTAAATTAAAGGTTTTAGTATTTATCACTTACGGAAAACAGTAAGTGATTAACGTTGTTTGTTTTTTTATTTAACAATTGATGTTTATGGTTAAACATAATTAGGAAAAGATGATAATGATTAGTAGTTGTAGGCAAAGATAATCACGGAAGGTCTTACTTGAATCAAATATTGAATCAAATAAAAATAAATAAATATTATTCTACAATACATGAATAATAAAAAGTAATAACAAAACACTAATCTACCTAACGCATAAGTGCATTATGTTCCGGAGTAGAAATATATTACATCCAACATAGTATAAATATATTAATCGTTATTTACCACCAATTACCACATTGTAACGGGATGGTATTTTTTGTCCTGGGCTTTTTTTAAAAAAATCTTAGATCTAATAAATCAAAATTCTAGTTAAAAATGGAAGTTGGTACCAAATGATACCATATGGTACCACTGAACGCGTTCCATCTGTGTCAAAATTTTGAAATCCAAGTTAGAGCAAAAAAGATACAAGTCGAGATAATCCAATTTTTATGATAAAATTTTCAATCGAATTAAAATGAACGAGATTTTAAATCGAGAAATGTTTTTAATAATAAACTAAATTAGCAAGAAAAAATAAATTTAATTCACTATTCATAAATAACGAAAATAATATCAACACATAACCAATTATTTTACTACTGCATAACTAATAAATAACATATATGTCACACTTTCGAATATATTTTTTCTCTTCCACTTTTCTCTTCACTTTCCTTCATAAAACAACATTTTCCTTCCCTTTACATCTTTTTTCCCCTCCTCTTCCCTCCCCTCCAAATCTTCCCTCCCCTCCATTTTACGTTGTGTATGAAAATATTATCTGAAATTTGAATTGATTAGAATTTGAGACATGATACTTCCGTAAAAATTAAAATTAAGTTGTTAATTCTCTAAATCTTGTACACTAGATTAATTTAATTAGAAATAAAAATCCACGGTTATAATTCATCAAAATACATGCAACAAACTAAATGCATCATATTAGGATTTATGGTTTATAATTTAAATAATTAGCACCTAGGGTTCACTCATTAAGCATTAGGGTCACATCCCAAAATCCTATTAATTCGAAGTCTATATT